GTGAACATTTTATTTCACGTTCGGGACCGGTCAATTGGCCGCTTAGATCGTGCGATTTACCGCCTTTAGACTACTTTTTGTAGAGCTGTGTTAAATCTAATGCCTATACAGACAAGCTCACTTCATTTGACGTTTGGAGGACATACATTTATTATCCAAAAGAGAAATTTTAAATAAAGAAACAGAGAACCAGATTGTATGTAAAACATGTATGTAAACAAATTACAGATCTAATGGAGTTTAAAATATTCACAATGACCTAACTAACCAGAAGTTAAGTAACCAGATTTTGGTGAAAACGAAAATGTCACATCAGCCTATCTGGCGCTTAGTTATCCCTCGGCTAAAGATTAGGTGAATCGGACATTGTGAAAAAGTGTCTATATACGAGTATATCAAGTATTCTCAAGAAAAGGCGGCAGTTTTAGAGGTGTGAATTGATCGATTAGCTTTAAGTAAATATTAAATATCAAAAAATCAATAGATTCTCAAACACGAAATTCTGTTCATTAATTTACGAGTACTTAAAACCAAATGCCTTACATGGTTCATCACTCTGGAGGATTGTAGGAAAGTGTAGTTGACTATGGAAATAATATCTAAACCTTTAAATACGGTGTATGTATATAAGTATGTTTATATGTATCCATGCTCTATCGTAAATAGTATTCTTGTATGTGGTATAAAAAAATATTTTAGCTCGACTCTTTTTTCTTTATGTTTTGTATGTATGTATATGTATATCTAGTCATACATACACGTATGCTATGTAGTAATTACTTAAGATTCCATCGTTATTTTGAGTTAAAAATCTGCATCAAGCTACAATAATTGAAATATCTAAATAAATTTTCAGTTAACTAAAGGAACATAAAGATTAAGCTTTTTAAGCTAAATATAATATATTAGTGAGTGTATAAATGTACATAAGTAGGGATAGAACTAATAAATTCAATAAAGTCGCAGGTATATAAAGTATTCTTATGGCATTTAGCTTCTCTTCATGAGCTTCTCCTATTCCATACAAATTTTATAGCTTTCTAAATATTTCGTTTTACACGTTTATGTTTTATGATTTTATGTTTTTATTTTCTTTTATTGATTTTTGTTTTCCTTTATATTTTTTTTTTCATTTTTTTTTTCAGTTCAACTTTGTAGTTTATTGCAAGTTTGATTCAATAGGACTAACAAGTAGTTTACACATACTGACACATCACTAATTTAATATTATATATATGTATGTATAGTATAATATAATTTACGCACTTATATGTATATATATATGTACGCGTACATTTCCAACAGTTTTTGATTGTTTTGTGTTTTCATTGCATTTTAATTATGAATATCTTAAAATATAGTATTATGCTTTTATTTTTGTTTTTGTTGTTATTTGTTTTCTTTTTTCTTTCTCAAATTCTCGTTTTTGGTATAAAAAATGTTTGTTTTACGATAATTTCTTAACTTTACCTAACATACAATATGTATGCTTGAACATGTATGTATGTATTGTTATGACGGCAATATTGTAAGTATATACGTATATGTATATTGTGTATGGATGCATGTATGAATGAACGCTGCACTCAATGTAATGGCATGTATAAATAGTCTGCACAAAATACTCACATTTACTTTTGACTACTAAACACCTCACTACAATATCTACTACTAAGGTTACTACACGATACTTGCCAACTTTTTTTGTTTTTTAGCTTACGTTTACCATATACTTTATTGTATATTTATGTTTTAGTGTTGAATACTTTGGGTTGGTATTGGTGGCTGCATTATTCATGATATCTAAACAGATTTTCGGAACTGAATTTGAGTTACATTTAATATTTTTGATATTACCATCCTCGCATAAAAGGCTAAGTATTAAATTTCAGGCATGAAGTCTGCTTAAAAAATTGATATCGAAGTTGATTATCAAGATTAGAAGGAAAAAACATTTGTATGAGTCTCTGTGTGCTTATTTTTAACTCTTATGCCTTTGTAATTAAAAGAAATAAGAAAAATTTCAAGTTGCCGCATTGCGTGTACGCAACACATTTCACAAAGACGTCTTATTATATTTCTCATCCTTTCTGCAAAGTTTGGACGCCTAAGTTTTTTCGATCCTTAAAATTTCGAAAATCCACTTGGTAGATTGTGGAATTTCAAACTCCTTACGAACAGCTGCAAAATAAACTATTGGATTTCGGAAAGGTCGTAAAAAAGTTGCCATATCGCAGCAAAGAAAAACTCCTCGCTCAACGTTCCCGTCTTACTATAGGGTGCAGAATCATGGACGATGACAACATTAGACGAGTCGGCTATAGGAGTTTTCGAGAGAAAAGATTTGCGAACGATTTATGGTCCTTCACGCATTGGCGACGGCGAATACCGTAGACTGTGGAACGATTAGCTTTACGAGTTATTCGGCGACATTGGCATAATTCAGCGAGGACCTGGCTGTACTGGCGAAGTCTACACCATAAACTAAGTAAGTATTGCGCCAAATATTCAGAGACCCTTCATGATATGAAACACGGAATCAAAGTTGTCGTTGCAGCCATAGAGTGCTTCATAATCGAAAATATGATGAAAAATTTGGTTGGGAGACATAACACAATAAGCTACAGCAAGCCCAGCCGCAGGTGCCATGCGAGTATGAACGAATTAATAGCAATACTAAATTTTAAAATTTGTATTAAGATTCAAAGGGTACGCTTTTGCTTTTAATTAATCTCAAATCCTTGTAAGACCGGAGATCAGCCATCTCGATTTGTTTTGCTATTCGTATAATTTAGGTGGCACTGGTATAATTAATAACATAATAATATAATTAAAATACCTCTACGAGCCTCAGTTGAATTGAATTTAATTTATATTTAATTTTTCACTAACAAAAATACTGGCATATCTCAAATATGGCTTATATTTTATGTATAATTGTCGCTTTGTAACCGGTGAAGCCATGACTTGACTTTCCTTGCTTAGGGACGACTGTAATTATAAAAAAAATTATGTTTCTATAATTTTGGATCTTTGGTCAGACCAGGACACTAACCCTGCCCTTCCGAATGAAATGCTAACCACTAGGATTTCGCGGCCCTGTTTATACACAAATCAAAAAACCATTGCTCATGGACTAAATAAATTAATAATATTGTTATAGGGACGGATAATAATCACGAGCTTTATAATTTTGAACAGGGTTGAACTAAGCCTTTTTTGCGTTGCGTGAATATAATTAGAAGAAGTGATAAGGTGAAACAGCCAATTTCATTTTCTTGCGAGTTTGGAATCCACCAAATACACAAGTAAAACAGGTTTCAGAAATTTTCTTCCATTTCTTATGAGATCATCGCTTACACAGAATTATCGGGTTAATAATTTTATTTTTTCACACAGCATAAAAGCAAGACTTCTTGAAACAAGTAGTAGCTTCACATAAAAAATACTATCATTGCCTATAAACATTAGGCATTACATATTTTGAAATTTAAACTTAACCCTTTAATTAGTGAAGAGATTTTTTTTATCAAAATTTATGATTTTTTTTTTATAAAAGGACTAAATACTAAAGCTTAACAGTCGAACCAATTCTATTAATAACGAATTTCCAACAACTCCTCGGTAGACATGAGCTCAAAATGCACACAGTCGCATTCATTTCGATATATAAGACACAGTATTTACCGCTTATGAGCACCAGAAAACTGTTTCTATTAAAAGGTTTGATATCTTTTCAGTTTACTACAAGTTAAAGATCTTTATTTATTACCGTTATAGAAAAAATAAAATATTCTCAACGTAACGACTCAGTGCATTGATTTCTGGATAGTAACTTCTATCCGATTTCTTGCTAAAAGAATAAAAGAAATGTTAAGTAACATTGCCAGCTTATTTAAAAAAATTTGAACCCAGCAAAATATTGGGTTGCCACAATAGAAAATGGCGATTTTTCATACAGACGGCGTTGACAAATTTTTTTTGAACAGCTTGTGACTATTTAATTGTATTTTTTCTTTCGACAGGTATAAGTTGTCAGTTTTAGCTTGCTTTGCGTAATTCTGCTTATATTTATTTGCTTGGGGTCAATTTTAATATGCAGCCCACAAAAGAACATTCTCGTCATATTTACTTATTTCCTTAAGGGCAATATGCAGAGCAGGTTGCTAAAAAGTTGCATAATGAAAAAGAAAGAGAAAGTGTAGAAGTTACTTTGCCAAATTCCATTCGGGAAATTTTTGACACAGAGATAAGCCACGTTCAGGTCGGCCAACTGAAGATGATGATGACGATATCAAGGCTTTAATCGAGTCGGATCGTCATCTAAAAGAGCGTGAGATTAGAGAGAGAAGCTAAGTATACCAAAATCAACCGTTCATAGTCATATATGATGTTTGGACGTTCGAAAGAAATTCATTGAACAAGAAGCTTCAAAGTTTGTGATATGTTTCTGAAGCAAATCATAACTGGAGATGAAAAATGGATTGTTTACAATAACGTCAATGGAAAACGATCATGGACAAAGTATGATGAAGCGTAACAAACCACTTTAAAGGTGATATTCACCAAAAGAAGACTATGTCGTATGCTTCCACGGAACCAAACGATTAATTCAAATGTCTACTGTGAACAACTGGACAAATTAAATACATCCATCAATGAGAAAGGGACAGAATTGATCAATCGTAAAGTTATCACATTCTACCAGGAAAATGCTAGACCGCATACACATCTTTGGCCACTCGCCAAGAACTGAGTGAGCTTGGCTGGGAACTTTTGATGCATCCACCATATAGCCCTGACCTTGCACCATCAGACTACCATTTATTTCGATCTTTGCAGAACTCCTTAAATGGTAAAACTTTCGAAAATGACAAGGTTATAAAATCTTACTTAGTTCTATGAGCGTGGAATAATGATGTTGCCGGAAAGATGACGAAAGGTCATCCAACAAAATGGAAACTACATAATTAATTAAAGTTCTTTTGAAAAATCGCCGGTTTCTTTTGGGGCAACCCAATACTTATATGCAGAAAACAAAACACAAACCGTTGAACGGTCTCAAATTTAACTACCAAAGCAAACAGCTTAAGCTCTTTGGGAGAGTAAGACATTTTACTCTCTGGACATCGGTATTGGCTTATATAAGCATTTTGCATTTTTTTAAATAAATAAAATCTCCACTTTTTTTTACTGATAAATGGAATTACTTTCAATAGGGTAGGTAGTGAAATTCTCGTATTTAAATATCTACCATTCAAAGCTCATTATTCTAGAGTTTTCGAACATGAGCACAAGCGTTTTGAGAATTTTGAATGAAAGTCATGTTGAGGTCTTGCAAATTTTTAACATTCTCATAGTTATGGTTAACCGGGTACACAATGTTATCACTAGTACTTGTAAGCGGAAGTCTTCTGCATGCCCTCATCCCGGAAATACTGTGCGTAAATATTATATGTATATATAAGAAAGCCTTCGAATGAGATTAGACTCATTCCGATGTCAACGCGAGAAATTTTATCAGATATACATATATGTGTGTAAGTACATATGTATATTCTAACATACAAATCGAATTGCGTTCTTACGTATATGCTAACTAAGTGTTTCTATTTTATATGGTTTAAAGTCAGATACGTAGTTTCTAGTTAGGTCTAATTTACGAGTATTTTTCACACAAAGTAACACTATTCTCTTTCTAGTTTTTTAATATTTCTAGATTTAGTATGTTTTCGCTTTCATCTTAAAATATATTGTATTGTATTCCATGCAAAGTAACGGTTTTACACACTAAATACGAGTATTCTATAATATGTATGTATGTATGTATGTATGTATAATAATATAATATCGAGCTACAAACGAGTATTCGATAACTAATTATTGCTTTCCATTTAAGTTTCACCGATTTTTTAATGCTTATAGTTTTGGAGTATTTTATGATTATCGCTACTTTTATGTTTGCATTTGTGTATATGACAGTGTATATGGTAGTGTGAGTGTGCATATGTAGGTATGTATGTGTGTGTGTTTTAACGAACATTGTCGCAATGCGACTATGATTGCTGTAAGTCTAATTGTTCGAAAAGTTTCTGTTTTTTTTTTTTTTTTTTTTTGAAAAAATATTAAAAATAATCAATAACTTCCTACACACTAAGGTAACAAACAAAACGAGGAATTTATTCAGTTACATAATTCATCTGAGTATTGGGTGGAGTGGAGGACACATAATGACGTCAGCGTCAGGCGCTTGGTCAGATGAAAGGGGAATTTGTGTGGGAGCGCCTAGCAGGAGCTTCATGTTAGGGACCAACGGTTGTGTCGCTGTAGAACAATGAAAACGCTCGCATACCAAAAAGTTGTCGCAAAACTTCTACTGTAGTCTTGGGCTTTGCTTAATCCCTGCGTTTCGGTGGCTGCCGAGCTGCGGCTGCTACGCGCTGCACCTTCAATGATGTTGTTGTTGTCCACTTCATGAAGCACTGGCAGTTCAAGGTCTGCTTGCCCCACACCCTCGGCGACAAATAACCGTTGCTTTGGCTTACAGTATTGGTGCTTCTTAAAGGTTTTTGTTACGTTTATGCTGTATCCTTCGAGGTATTCAGAGCCCTGCAACGAAAGGAAAGGAATATTCAAATAAGTCAACGCAATAACAAAGAGAGGTGGAGCCAGATTTGCAGAAAAACGAAACAAAAAACGGCATTCAAGGATGGAAGAGAAATATAATAAATTACGGCATTAATTAAAATACTTTTGTGTAGGACACAAAAGAGCGAGCGGCGGGTTGGTTGGTTGCTGAGAAGGGAGAAATTTCATTGGCGTTACTGTAACCATTTGTGCTGTCAGATTTGCAAAGCATCCGAAAGCGCCATCAACTCAAATAAACATTAATAAAACACATAGGCAAGCACCGAAATCTAGCGGGACCGAATATCATATAGCTTTTAAAGCTTTAAAAAGAAAAAAGAAAGAACTAAGAATAGCTATTATTTTTGTTTATCGGGGATACATAATCTTCTACCAAAATGAGCAGCTTGATAGATTCTTGTGCTCGTAAACAATGGATGAAGTGGCGATAAGTCAAAATTTTGGATGAATGCCTAAGTTCGTGCCCGATTTCAAGTGCAAACTAAAATTGAAATTTTTTGAAGAAAGCGCTTTTATTAATCAATTATGTATTCGCCATCATGTTCGGCAAGTCACTCCTAACGTTCAACCAATTTACGGATGCCTGATTCATAGAAATCGCGCGGTTTCTCATTGAAAAAGGTGTCAAGGTGGTATTTGACGTCTCCCACATTTTTAAATTTTTTTTCATTCAAATTGTTCTGCAGCGATCGAAACAAATGCTAATCAGAAGATGCAATGTCGGGTGAATATGGGGAATGCGGCATGATTTCCCAATTCATCTCCTTCAGTTTGGCCAGGGTCGGTTTTGCAACATGTGGCCTGGCGTTGTCATGATGGAAAAGAACTCCTTTGCGATTGGCCAAAATCGGACGTTTTTCATCAATTGCTTTCTTCAATTCGACCAATTGCTGACAATACTTGTTGGCAGCGATCGTTTCTCCAGCTGGCAAGAGCTCAAAATAGATCACGCCTCGGATATCCCACCAAATGCACAGCAGTGCCTTCATCAGATGCGATCTTTCGACATCGGTTCCGCCCCTTCGTGTGCGTGTTTCCATGTTCTTTTGCGTTGAACATTGTTGTACAGGATCCATTCGCAACTTAAGTCCTTAGAACATCGTCATCAAGCTCAGAAGGCCGGCCACTGCGAGGTTGATCTTCGAGGTTAAAATCTCCAGAACGAAATTTCGCGAACCATTTCTTTACTGTGCGGAGTGCACGGTCCGAATAAACTTCGCGAATATCTTTAGTTGCAGCGCCTACTGTTGCGGAATTCGTATAACATAATATGACGCATATGATCTTTTTCGTTGTCCATCTTCCATGCGTCTTTACAATAAACAACTCAAATCAAAATGAAGTTATTTTATGCTTGATTTACAGTTCGGACTGTCACCTTTCCAAAGATATATAATATGTATATATTTCTTTCACGAGCGCCACTTTCAAACGATTCGAACGGCATCCATCGGAACCGGGCACGAACTTATGCACTTATCCAATAATACTGTTAGAAAGTCGTTGATGAAGCCTCAAACTCACCGATTGGTTTGTGTCTTTAGATTTTTAGGAACAATTTGATCATGAGACAGTCGCAAAGAATCATGTCACAATTTTAAGTTTCGACCACAAGGACCTCATCCCACAAGATTTGTTGCAATCTGTCTAATACAAAGACCCAAACTAACTTTAACGGTCACAAGCTAAAATTCCGCTCGAGCTTTTGATCACTAAATTGCATTGAGCGGGCTTTAGTTGTTTTTATCCCAGGGCGGAACGCTCAATGAGGCATATTCCCCTCAGGTAACTAAAAAACTCATGAAATGAGAGCGTGAGAGGGAAAAATTGTATAATATTTTTATTTTGAGCGCCTTGACAAATGAAAATACTGGCGATAGTTCAGGTGTACATAAATATAATATCTGAAAGAGACTGCTTTGCGGGGGATTGGTACTTTTTGAAGGACATACAATTCAAGATACTATTTTATTAACAGAATTCGTGTGAAATTCCATATCTTTTTCGAATTATTCAAAATGTCGCAGGCAAACATTATGCGAAAAAAGCTTAAAATAACCGGCAAACAGTAATGTTGGGTATAGAACTGTGCAGAGAAGAGTAAAAATTTCGGATTTTTTTAAGTCGATGGAGTAATTGGTCCAAAAAGGAGAGCAAAGTTAGAATTTTTTTTTGTTGCCATGAATTAAAAAGCACCGAAAAAAAATTTTATTTTCAGCAATTTCTTCTTCAGCGTCCCACTTAGTCAGCCAACCTCTAATTGTGTATAAAACATTTCCTACACCAATTTGCAAAAATTCACGAAAGAGCAGAGCTCTTAAAGCAATGCATAAATATAATATCTCCTTATTGGCATACAATATCAACAACACATTTCGCATACACGTATATATGTATAGTATGTATATGGAACTAAATATGAATGGTAAATTGGAAACAGGACAAATCAAATAAAACATTTCTCGTCCTTTGCTCTGGAAAATGCAATACTAATTTAACTACTTGCAATTTACTTCTCCACATTCTATATACATTAGGGTCGGTCATGTTTTTCGACTCGAGCTAATCTAGAAGAGACCTTATGGAAAATGTAGAAAGTGAAGGCTTTGCTTCGATAATTTTTTAGGAAAATATATCAAGGAAGCGAGGAAAAGTATTATGAGTGAGCCACTATAAAAGTATTTACCTACACGATTTTCCCGACAGACAAATTCAGCGACTAGAAAAAATACTAGATCAACTGTGTGGATGCTGAGAAAGTTTAAAATACTTTTTCCAGTCGTTTATGATTTAGAACACCAATTCAAACATTTCCTGACTTTCGCATTCACTCAAATTTAAACACATGAAGCTTCGGTTTAAAACCCCAGCCTATCAATCTTCAACAATGTTTTGCTGCCTGTTTGATGGGATTTGCCAGGAATCATCTACTATGATCTGTTCATCTACGATCAAACTCCTAACCTGGATCTGTACTGCCAGCAATCGAACCGAGTTAAGGCAGCAATTGCCAAGAAGCGCACAGCTTATGCCAAAACGAAGGGAATTGTGCTTCATCAGGACAACCCTAGACCAAACGCACACATCTATAATGACTCACCAGAAGCTCCGAGACCTTAGTTGGAAGATTCTTAGGCATGCCCCTGGTGGAGATCTGGTCTGTAGATCTCGCACCATTATTCTAAGTCGCCTCTGAACGGCCGATGAATTTTTATGAATGCCATTTAACTTCATGCTATATATACACTCGAAGGACTTGACAATCCTTTAGAGGATTTTCTATTTTGGCTGTGGCGCGCACCAGGACTGCAATCCTGACCATCCGAATGTTATTACTGCTACTTGCGAAAATTGTTTGATATTCTTGATATTGGGGGTTTTCGAAGTTTCTAATATACAATTTCAGTTCAAATTAAAAAAAAATACAGAACGGGGAGGTTTTATGAAACATTTTTAATTACACGACGAGCTTAAGACTTTGGACATTTTTTGATTTTTAAGAAGTAAAATATATTGAAATGGCAAGTCCATTAAGCCATTCATTCATTTTTCAACAAGTCTTATCGAGAGTTTTTGATTCGGAGTTCATTGCTTGACATTACCGAGTTTCTCATCTTCTATGTATATACACATATGTATGTATATATAACATATTGTAATTGGCGCTTTATAACCACTGAACCTATAGTTTATACTAAGCAGCCTCCGGAGGGCTGATGGTATTTTATGAGGCTATCACGGCCGATCATGACATTTTTGTGGAAGCTCAGAGAAAGTTTAAACGGTTAAAAACAGCCAGTAAGTGGGCCATGGTCCAACCCATCCGATAAAGTCGTAACAGTCTTTGGTTTTCTTCAAACTATGGTTGTTTTCTAGGATCCCTGATATAACACAGCAGATTATATTGAAATTGTCAGTTTGTTTTTAAGTTCACAGGAAGGTTCGCAAGATAAAACATTTCCGTCAAGTGAACCAGAGACTCACCTGTTGGAACAAATTATTATTACTTCAATTTAACGACCGATTTATGGGAAAAAAAGAGTGACTATTTCTGGTTCAGTTTCTTCTCAATTGGCTTAGGCACCGCATATCAGCTGAATCAACAAGAGTTGGCGAAGTGGGCGCAAACACCCGAGTACGCTGACTGTTTGCTTGAAGACAGAAGACATTTCTTCTTGTGTTCATTCTGTCTTATGGAATTCTGTGCCTTATAAAATTATCCAACATTAGGTTGAAAGCCACACGATAAGAAGTAATACTATCTCAAGCCCCGTTCAGTATCGCAGGCCTGGCAGATTATTCTTCAGTTTCTGCGGAGGCTTTTACTGTTGCTTACCGTCTGTGTACACAATCGCATAAGTTTTGAGGAGATATCAAATTCGGACTTAACAGCATAAATTAAGCTCCTTTTGGCGAAATAGAAGTCCACTCAAAAATCGATTAAAAGCGAGCTGGTGTGGACCCTGTTCTCATGGGTCTTTTGGTAGTTTTGGAGCATGGTGAATTAACAATTCGTGTTCACGAAAGGAATAAGATACGCTTATTTGCTGGCGATACAGTTTTGTGTTTCAGCACCGAGTGTTTTTTTGGGCTGTAAGTCTATTAACTTCATGAAGCAAAAACCCAATTTGGGAATATAAATGCGAACGGTAACTTTGTAATTTCAAAAATTGTAGAAATGATTACCGAAACTTTTTTGAAAATAATTATGCATTTCGATAGGAACCCCAGAGGATTTCATGAGTACAACTCACATATTTCCAAAAAAAAAACTTTGATATACCTTTGTCTTGGCCTATATACGTTTGTAAGTATATGTTGAAGCAATCGCTGCAAAGCCAATTTCCTGACATTTCCATTCTTACTGTGTTGTGAAAAGGTGCATTAAGTAAGTAAAACAGAAGCTGTGACCAGTTGGAGAGAATTGCTTCCGAATTGAAATGCACTTAATACTTGTATATATGTTTGTAGAGAGCTAGCGAAGTAGCCGTTGCCTTAGTAATAAATATATGAATGTATCCATATAAATACTTCTTTGTAAGTATATGTAGCAATAAAGTACATACATACATACACGTATGTACAATACATGCAAGCGCTCAAATTACTTCCTCAGCTGGCGTGGCGCTTGGGTGGTAAATAAGAACTTGATTGCAGCAAGACAAACGAACGGAAAGAAAGTTGTGAGGAGTCTTGCATTTACAACAGCAATAAATTGGCTGTACTTTATAAAGCTTGCGGTCTGCTTCCCCTAGCACGTGCGAAATACTAGTGGTCTATTTGTGCTGTTTGAGTTCTTGGAGAATTTCTTATTTCTAATTTCTTTATCTACTTTCCACCACGACGTGTGCAGGAGTCTAATAAAGCACAAAGAATTGTTGACTGAACGCAGTAAAGTAGGAATTGAGGGAAATAAAATTTGTTAGAGTTGCAGTGAAATATTTATAATCGTTTGAATAGAAATTTACGTATTAAACTTTGAACTCCAACAATTGAATACTGGCTGAATAAGGACTACTTGAGTTTAAAGTTAAAGACATCACAGTTTCTACCAAGTTCGCAATCAGTATGAATGGCATTTGAAAAAAATATCGAAGTTTCAAATTCGAACGACAGCTTGAGTGTGCATAGTACGAATTTGGTTAAGCGGTCGTAGGTTTAAACATCGTGAGAATATCTGCAGTCCCGAAATTACAATCACTTTTCTTCCTTTCTTATATGACGGAGAAACTGCTAACGCTGTTAAGGTCTAATAACTTCAGAACTGAACCAAAGATGTCAAATGGTAAAGAATAACCTCGTCTGAAACCAAACGGCTTGGAGAAGTCCGTCACATTGAAGGTTTCAATCATCAGGCATGCTATTCTCTGATCATATAATATCTGATACGTGAGTAAATACTTGACGTAAGTACATTCTGTCATCACTGATATGGGGTGCAGTTTCGTCATAGCAGGCTGGAAAGTTATTCTTCATTAATCAAGTTACCTTCGCATCTGGTATCATCGATAGCTATAGGCCCAGCTGATTCGAGCAGCCTCAACCCATTTGGATAGGTTTGCTAGTGAAATCTGAATTTTTCGACAATTGTACCAAGAATAATAGTCGATTCTCTCGTCTATCGCAAATTTGAATCTAGTTTTCGGGCGAATAATCACTTCAGCGGTTACAAAGCGCCAAATAAATACGAGTATATATATATATATATGTATATATTTTTAACAATTTTCATTTGCCGGCATTTAATTGACGGGCGAATATTCGAGTAATCGAAAAATTTTATTATTCAAAAAGTTTAAATATGCTGAGGTCCAGCTACATTCTATTGCCATCAAACTGTTGCAAGATAAATAATTTTCTGGGCAAAACGAAGTTATTAAATTTTTGGGTACTTATATAAATATCAAAATTAATATATATTTATTTAGCATTCAGAGAAAAGTTAAAAATCAATAGTAGTTAGAGACTGCTACAGAAATAGAACGCTAAATTTTGAGTTAAATATTGATCTATCAACAACAATATTTTTTGTCACTCAGTCCCGTCGAAGTTTGTGCATTGAAAAGAGCTTTTGCGGAGAGTTTGAAGAAGACTTCATTCCTTGAATATAAAGAAAACCACTGCCGAAAGTCCTCGTACGAGTATTTATGGTGAATGTGCTCTAGCTGAGCGAACGTGTCAAAAGTCGCTTGCAGGATTAAATAGTGATGAATCTGGATCGGAAGACGAAAAAAGTTGGAAGATGACGAGCTGGAAATTGAGTGTCATATGAAATGAAGCCACAAGAAGTGGAAACACGTTTTTGCATGTCAGCCAACTCAACGACCTAGCCGAAATAATGCTCTATATTTGATAGGGCGAGCAGACATGCGGCAATAACTTTCCATTATGAAACGTTCGGCCTCTTGTTTCAAGAGAAATGGGTTTGGCTACACTCATTTTTGACCGCCAAGCCGGCACAGTTCTTCAAATATGCAAATTATAAATTGCCATAAAGATGGGTAAAAATTTAGAGATTACTATTGTACATGTTTTCCTTAAATAAACATTTTAATTTTGAAAAAAAAAAAAATAGACGTACGAATTAAATTATAAACCATAAATCGAGAACATACTTACTGGAATTACATGATTTTTTGCGCCCCAACATAATGGTTTGAACGATCCACTTCTGGTTGCCTCCTGGAACTCATCAAACTGATTTTGCCAATCGTAGGATATTAACCGTGCTTCCAAAGTCATGCCCGCCAATTCCGGTGGTGAAGAAATCAGAACTGGATTTGAATCACTGTAAAAGCAAAAACAAACATTTTTATGTACATTTAAAGTCGAAATTCCATATGAAAGTGTATTTTCCCTAAGGTATAATAAAATAAAATCGCATTTTAAAGACGGAATTCCATAAAGAATCTTTTAATCGAAACAGCCAACCTCTCTTATGATAGCGAGGTTTTACTGACGTTTGCACCGTAGAAACCAGCTAATTTAGTTGAAACACAAATAAAGATATCCTAAAATTTGTTTAAGAAAAGCAAATTTTCATTGAGTTTTCAATTGTATCTCTAGCTAAATGGCACCATCAGCTGATCGCCTTTCCATTCGTTTTCCTCATCATCTTTAGAGCATGATTTTGATACTTGATTATAGCCAGGGTTACCCAAATATGCCCAGTTATTTATTCAGCTATAAGTCCTTAGATCCAAATAGTTATTTTTTTTTAAATAATTTTTAAACTGGTTGGCATTCATTTGGCAGTGTCTAGCTTGTAGCCTCAAAAACAGTATCACGTCTTTGAAAATTGCAATACACGGTGTGTCCCAAAAACAACCGAACTTTTTGGATATAAAATAAAATACACATTATATTATCTTCGAAAGTTATTATTTATTCGAAATAGCTTCCATTCGACTAAACACAACATTTGGAACGATCAACCAGCGCATGCATAGATTTTTTTATGTCATTTATAGAAATGTTCTTCAGTACCTCGGTTACGGCTGCTTGAATGGCTGGGATATCATCATAAAATGCTCCCTTCATCTTGGTTTTCAGTTTTGGAAATAAAAAATAGTCACATGGTGATAGATCAGGCGAATACGGAGGATGGTCGATGAGAGAAATCCCTTTTTTCATTAAAAATTCGAGCGATTTTTTGATCGTCATTTAATTCATGTGGAACAAATAGCGCATAGACCTTTCTTTTCCCCAAATCTTTTACTCGTATTCAATTCCTCAGCGAACATTTCAAGTTTGACACAAAACTTTATATTTGCTCTTTGTTCCATTTTATTTTTGAACCATTAGCACACTTTTGGTTTTATTGAAATGGCTGTCACTTTTACATTTGTCATCCGACTTACATGATGTTAGGTGCATTTGAAAGAGGATGAATGTATGTTTTTAATGTTGCAAATTTTTATTAGATGGTACTGTATGTTGTATGATTTAAATATAAAGTTCGGTTATTTTTCGGACACACCGTGTATAACAATATTATACTTTTTCGTTTTTATGAATAAGTGACTCAAAAATTTAAGGACAACATAGAATAGACAATTTATTGTAATTCATAATATTTACTTTTAACAAGTCCTTGGAATCGGAAAATCTTTCGTCAAGCAAACATAATCCCTGAAAAATTTAAACGCAAATAAAAAATTTTGTTATTTAAATATCTGTTGCCCATTAAACTTGTTTATTGAAACAGATAACAGATCTATTGTATTATGACGATTTTCGCATCTTTAAAATAACTTAGCGATAGCTTTAACGATTTTAATATTCGCTGGACTTACTTTAACGAAATTCGGAATCGCTTTATCGGCTGCTGTCGTAAACTACTCGACAAATCGCGTCCAATATTTTGAATTTGTTCAACGATAAATTATTGCTTTTTTTTTAAGGTTAGGTTTGCTTCATCGGAAAATTACCAAAGTTGAATAAAAAATAAAAATAAAATAATAAACAAAAAAGGCTTTTATCCGAAAATAAAGAGGTTTGTGCCGTTCAGCATTGGATAGAATTTTTCTTCGGAAAGTGGGAATAACTTTTGAGAGTTTTTTTTAGTTTTAACACTATTAACATGCTCCTCCTCCAATTTGTGGTTTGGCGTCTTGATGTTTTCCCAACAAATGGAAAGACCTACATATAGAAGATTATGCTAAGCATCATGGACACCATTCGATCAATATGAAAATGGTGGGAGTGAATTTTTTTATTTTTTCAATTGTCATTGGAGTTGTATAGTTTATTATATATGTACATATGTATGTAATTCTCTATAGTGCGAAGAGTCTTGCAGCATATTTTTGTTTGTTTTCTTTTATTCACTCCTTTTTGTGCTTTTTGCATATTTCGACATTTTCTTCTATTTTAATAAAAAATGTCAGTTGTCTATGATTGTTAAAAATGAGTTAGAGAATCAGCAAGTGGCAAAATTCGCAAGTTTGTGATCTGACAAATCGTATCGAAAAAAGTTACTGAATCGCACTACAGAGCATCTGAAGTTTGAACAGACCAGAGCAGCTGCCAAAATGTTCACGAGCAGGTTAGAGCAACTGGAATCAGTAATCTCATGAAACACAACAATTTTCAAATTAGAGTGTCTGGCATTTCTATGAGAAAAAAAACTAAGAAATATTTTATTTTCTCTTTTTCTTAAGTTGTTTGCCGTTATCGACGAATATTCCACAGTCACATTCTGCTCTCTTTCCTTCTCCAGTCACCACTGTCCAAACAATGTATAGCTTTTCTAAGTTCTCTTCTTCTTCTTTATTGGCGTTGGCAAAGCTTATGCGATTAAAGCCGAATCAATTATAGCGCGCCATTCAAGTGAAACCAGATCGCTCTCCAACTGATCCTTCCAACACAGTGGAGGCCTTCCTCTTCCTCTGCTTCCACCGGCGGGTACTGCATCGAAAACTTTCAAAGTTGGAGTGGTTTCATCCATTCGGACGACATGACTCTGTCTCTTCGTGCGTTGAACGTATAGCTCATTGTTCTATCGTATGTGGTATTCGCCGTTGCCAATGCGCAAAAGACCATAATTCGTTCTCAAAACTTTTCTCTCGCAGACTTCTAAAGCCGACTAAAACGTCCATGCTTCTGCGCCCTTTAATAGGACGGGTATGATGAGCGATTGGTAGTGTTTAGGTTTCTTCTCAATTCCTACTCAGTCCAAAGTAGCATCTGTTGGCAAGAGTAATTTTGCGTTGGATTTCAAGACTGACATTATTATTGGCGTTGATGCTGGTTCCTAGATAGACGAAATTATCTACGACTTTAAAGTTGAGGGGAGTGGTGAATGCGATGACCGTTTGTTTGATGACAACAGATATTTCGTCTTGCCGTCATTCACTACCAGACCCATTTGCTTCGCTTCTTTATCGAGTTTGGAGAAAGCAGAACTAACGGCACGATTATTGAGGCCCATAATGTCAATACCAGCGGCGCACGCCACTACCCATACACTCTTATAGAATATTGTAGCTTCTCTATTCAGCTCTGCAGCTCATATGATTTGCTCTACCAAAAAAAAAAAAGACTGAAGCTCTTAGTGCCTATTTCTGCCTGTAGTAGACCAATGAAACAAAATATAGATTAACTAAAACCAAGAAAATTGCTAAGGAAACACAAGATTTTAATTGCCTATTAACATTCATATGTTCAGAATAAACTATTGGTCCTTCCATTTGTTGGAAAACATTAAGACGTCACCATAAAAAGAGCATACCACAAATTGAAGAGGGATTCCGGTCGAAACTCGCTTTATTGGTTGGTTGAGCTGAGTTGATGCGACTGATGGTCGCTACCAGCGCACTAAGGCCATTAGGCCCATTCATTGGTTATAAAGCGCCAATTAAATTATATATAAGGTTTGTTTATTGAGCTGCCCTAGGTTACGCTAGGTTACCTTACTTCACAAAATTGTGTATCCCGACACTTTTTTGCTCTTACTTGCTCTGCTCTTTGTTTCAAGAGTCTGCTCTAAGCAGAAATAGAGCAACTCAGATCACGATTTTCTGCTCCGATTTTTTTGGTGGAGTAACTTGGAGCAAGCAATAAGATTTGTTTTTCGACAGACGCTGTTTAACACAAGTGACGACAAAAATAATAAATTTTATTAAATTATATCTGAAATAATTGTAAAAATATTCTATTTTGTTTACAACAGAAAAAGTCTCTGCATTTGAAAATTGTGGCCCGAAAAATGTTTCATGAGCTTTTTGCTGAGTTGCTCTAACTTACTCTATAGTTATTTTGGCAGCTGCTCTGTTCTGCTCGAACTTGAGCTGCTCTACTCTATTTTATGTCTCAATAACCAAGCCTGTAATCTACTATCAATTTTTTGAAAAAACTTTATGAGCATCTGTAGCGAGAGGTCATTATTCGTTTTTCACCAAATTTGTGGAGCGAATTTTTGGTACTCTCTGTTACTGAATTACAAATTCGATTCTGGAATAAGAATTCTCTCTATAGTCTAAGTCTATACCAAAATACATAATCCCTGAGATTCGTTCTAAATTTTTTAGATACATTTATAACTATACATCGCCTCTGTAGAGTTAATTTTTTGTTCCTGATGAAGGCCGTCACTTTTTTGAATTGTTTTAACATAAAAAGCCAAATTGATTCTGAGGGAAAATATTTTATTCGCAAATTATTTATATTTATCTTTGCTGTGGCAAACTGCACCTGTTTCTTTTCTGACAGCTGTTTCATATGAATCAACTGTCAACAACAGACGTGGTCAATAGTTTTCACCGGTGGTCTTACTACATTGTTGTATGTATTTATGTGCATGTAAATATGTATGTAGTCGAAATCGTGAGGCAAAAGCTCGACACGGCAAATCTTACACCGCCCACACAATTAGGATAATTAATTTTGTATAAGTCGGAGAGTGTGGTAAAATTCCCTGTTTCAATTTATGCCGCTCTTTCGTTTGTCGCCTTCAAGTTTTGTCCATCCATCGTGAGTCTGTGGAAGTTTGTGGAAGTGTGTGCGTGTTGCACAGTTTGCGGCGGTCGTTGAAATCCTTCGAAAGCCGCATACAAATCCCTTTTAATTAATTTATGATTCCCTTCTCACAATTCGCACCGCATCCGTGAAGCGAAAACAGTAAATATACGTAAATACAAATATACAAAGTGGTTGTTTGTACACAGCGAAATTGGGAGTAAAAACGGCTGATGCATGTACATACATCTTTACATACAATAGTTGGTGGTTGTTGAGGTTGGGATGTTTTGGATTTTTATGAAAACATACTCTATTGACTGGCCAACA